TTTTATCATGTTCTCTGACTTACTCTTGATTACCTCAGTTATAGTGAGGGAAAGAGTTGTTGGAAAGAGATCTGTGGAATTAAACTTTATGAATTATGAACATGATTAAGTATAATAGACAAGAAATTTGAATTAGGAAATTAGGAGAATTGGGAGTTCTGATTTTAATTACTGAAAGATCCAGGGAAATAGTTTTCAGTGATTTATTCAGTCATTGGCAAAATGTTCTTTTAAATGTATGACAGTGTGCGAGCTGTTTTGTCAGTTACTGAGGTTTCAGAGAATAGATGGTTCCATCACTAGACTATAGCATTTTTCACATTTTTGGAAAGCACTTTTTCAGAAGTCAGCTTTTAGTAGGAGGTGCAGTCAGTTACACTAAGTTGGAAGGCGTTTCTGTGATGGTTTCAATTCTAAATGAGTTTTGAAAAGACAAATATTTATCAAACGAGAGAAAAAGTTGTCATTAACATTATTTAGTATAGAAGAAATAGTGAATAAAAGGATACACAGCTGAGTGAATGTGACTTAATCCAGGAACTGAAACACTCCTGTAACCAAGAGTGAAAACCAGAACTAAACAGACAAAGAGAGACAAGAGACGCTGTAAATGTGTGGGCTTTCTCTTTAGCGCAGTCACAGAATATGTTGCAGTGTCCCTGAAGATGGACCATCATCTTCTTCAGGTAGACCACACCTTATGTCCAGAAGTAAGTAGCTCATTCATTTCAAAGAACTCTAACATTTATATGGCTTTTATATTGATTTAGAGATTATAACTAACTCAATTGTCTAATTATATCTAACTTAATTATCTAATATATTGATTAAAGGATGTGTTATTGAATATTGCAGACAACATACAAAAGCTGAAACTTTCCCTTGTGTTCTATTAGGGTATATAAAATTGCCTGTCAATTGTCTCCAAATATCTTCCTTGGTATTACTGCTTAGGCCTACCTTGTACCTTGTGAATGTCCCTCTCTAAAATGTGCACTTACGACTGAGCATCAGGCTCTAGATGTAACACTATGGGGGTGCAGAGCAGTGCTTCCTGACATCATGAACGCTTAGTAATTGGTAATTTTATATTCTGATTTATGGCACTTTGGTTGGACATTTACACATCTTATCTGCATTGTGATTCATCATAGTCTAACCAGTGTATCTTTACATTGGGAATGTTAATCTCCTATTGCTTAATTTTCCATCAAGCGCTCTACAAACAGCATTAAGTTGATGAGGAATTATGAATTTGTTTTATATTAGCAATATTGAATGAGATATTTGTATGTGAAAAGTCTATTATTTAACTAAGATTAGAAATGGATACATGTTTTTCTTGGTAAATTTTGTTTTACTATTTTCATAGTCTGCCAACAATTTTTGGTTGTTCTAGTGCTTTCAGGATGAAGAGGCAGCAACTAGACAGTAGCGTTGAGTACAGGGAGTGTCTCATTCCAAGGGAATAAGCAACAGCTAACTCAAGGTAAGCCTCTCTCTCTCTCTCTCTCTCTCTCTCTCTCTCTCTCTCTCTCTCTCTCTCCACACACACACACACACACACACACACACACACACACACACACACAAATTTTAACTCCACAGATCTCTTTCCAACAACACCAACTCTCTCCCTCACTGTAATTCAAGTAATCAAGAGTAAGTCAGATTGTGTGAAACAAAGTCTTTACTAATCATGGTGTTCAGTACACTACCTTATTCCTGGATGTTACCTAGTGTACCCTTTACTGACTTTATCCATCTATGTTTAATAACATGATTAAGTATAACAGACAAGAAGTCCTGTGTTCTCCTTTTAATCTTGTGAGGATAGAGGATTATGACTTGTCTTACCACCAAAGGCATTTTTCACAACCTTGTATTAATCATAGCGTTTTAGAATGACTAAATAATAGAAACTATATTTTTAAAGGCTGCACACAATCAAACATATTTATCCTCACAGCTTTGAATCAGTTAGGGGAAATACTACAATGTTATATGCTTATCTGACTATATCACAGTTTTACGGCCATATTATACATCATTTTGGTGTATGAAAATAAAATATTTCTCTATTTCTTAGCACAAGTTAATTGGCATGAATTAATAAACAACTCAGCTATTAATTGTACTGCCTGTTCCTTCCAGTTTTATTCCATGTGTGACTTTGATGATCACGCATCTTAAGTTAAACTAAAATGCTGAAACAGGAAAGAATTACATTATGAGTTCTAGTACAATAGAGTAGGTTTCATTTTATCTTTGGTATCTGTAGGTCTGAGTCTAGTGTCTTTGTTTTTTTATAAATATTTGCTTTGAAAGAAACATATGTAGAGAAAGAGGGGAGGAGAGAAGAGGAGAGCTGAGCAGAGCAGAGGAAAGGAGAAGAGAAAAAGGAGAAGGGGAGAGAACAGGTGAGGACAGAAGAGGAGAATATGGGAGGGGAAGGGAGGAGAGGAGATGGGAGAAGAGAGGGTGGGAACAGGAGAAGAAAGAAATGCGAGGAGACCACATCCTGAAGCTTCCCTTCAGGCCCCCACTAGACCAGTGATGGCGAACCTTTCAGTTCTCCTTGATAGTGAACAGCCAGCGGTGGCATGAATGCCATAGTTTCACCACCATTGCACTAGACCGATTTTAATTTCTTAACACAGTCACTCTCATGTCTAGCAGATCATAAGAACTATATGGATAGTATTGGGTTAATATGTTGTTCTATCTCAATGTTTTTAAGGATCAAATCTCTAAGCCCTACCATAAGAGATTGTCACTCATAAAGTGTGGTGTAGAATGTAGAGACATATATTAAACAAAGGAATCTGTGTTGTAAATATTTTAGTAACTTATGAAACTGTTAAATACTTTCAAAACTTTATTGTGCTTTAATAAGCTTTCAAATTTTTCTCCATTCATCTTGAGAAATTGTGTTTTTCTAAAAACCCATTCCTGTGTAACTGTACAAAAGTATCTTGTTTTCTTTCCTGTTAAATATGACATGCATTTATTGACTATTTCTCACAGAGTTTGCCTGTTTTTAAAGAAAATTAATATTTCTGGTATTTTGCTTATTAAAAATTTCATCATTGTACTATCATTTATGAATCTATTTTATATAGTTTGAAGGATGTCCTTTTTGCATTTGGTTTGTTTTTTGGTCTTTTTTGAGACAGGGTCTTACTATGCTTTTTTGGTTTTTTGAGACAAGGTCTCACTATGCAGTTCAGGCTGGCTTTGGGCTCACTTTGTAGGCCAACCTGGTCTCAAACTTGCGATGATTACCCTGCTTGAGCTTTTGAAGTGCTGGGATTGCAGGAGTGCACCACCATGCCCAGCTTATTTGAGCTGCATTTTCTTGATGCCTTTTGAAAAACAGTTCTTAATTTTATTCAAATATGAATTCCCTATCTTTCAGTTAGGCTTTTTGTTTGGGTTTGTTTTTATTAGTATTTTACTTGGGTGAAAATGTCCATATTAAGAAATCTTAAACTTCTCCAACATGTCAAAGATTTTCTTTAGTATTTTCTTCCATATGTCTTTGTTTTAGACATTTTGCTTATGTCTGTGAATTTAGGTTTATTTTCCCATACAAGAAAGGTATAGCTTTTTACATTTGCTTTGTATTTCTCATTTTTAATAATTCAACAGTAATCCATTTGTGATTTCATTTATGTATGCCATGATTAAATTATCTTTTCACAGTTTAAAACACTATGTTATAAGACATAAAATAATGTTTCCCCAGTGTATGTGTTTTACTTTGCACTGCGTCCTTTTATAACAGATAAAGTATTCAGAAGAATCATTGGGATGTTCTTTCTTGTATTTTGAACAGGTCTCTGTCCCTTGCTTTCCAATTGATAGAATGTTAATTGATCAAAACACAACAACCACATAGGTCATTATCTCATTATTGGGTCTCTGCAAATTTTATTGTGAATTAGGTTTCACTTTCCCTTCTCAAATACAGTTGTAAAGTTAAATAAACACTAGTTTATCACTTACAGGGTGTCACTTAGCCCATGGGAAGCTCAGAGTACGAACATAGGCCCTTAAGGCCTGGCTGTGTAACCTCTGCTGATCCCACTTCTCTCAAGCATTGATCTGGAGATCTCAAGCTGGAACAATTGTGAATCAGTCCACCCAGTGGATTGTTTAAAGGCGCTTAGAGAAGTCACTGCACTTTAGTAATATCTGAAAACCTGAGCATTTTATGGGGCCTAGATTTTCTGATGTAATGAAATGTCTGAAGATAGTATCTACATCCATCCCTGCTAGAAATTAAGTTGCGTTTACTAAAGGTTATTTCCAAAAAAAAGGGCTTGCTTTCCCTTAGGTTGTGGCTCAAGTCAGGTTTACTCTTTGACCTTGGCTTCTCTGAATATGTAAGCCTTCAAGTCTTGGTTTAGTAAGGTTGGTCAGAAAGCAGTGTAAGAGAGAGACACTCCAAAAGAGTTCCAGATAAGGTAGAGACATTTCAAATAACTCAGTGATTACGAATGTTGCTACAACAGTATATGTGTCCCAGCAGACACCTGCAGTCCCAGCTCAGGCAAGACTGCCAGCTGGAGGCCCTTTTAGGCAACATAGAGAGACCTCATCTTAAGAAAGAAAGTAATTGAGGCTAGGCATTTAGCTCAGTAGCAAAAGCACCTGTTTTGCATGTGCATGTTCATGAGTTTGATCCCCAATGCCAAAAAAAAAAAAAAAAAAAAAAAGATAAAAGAAGAAAAGCAAAGAATTTGGAGGTGAATTCCACAAAGTGTTTGACTTCAAGCTCAGTACTAAAAAAAATTGCAAATGGAGAAATAAGGCTTAATAAATATCAAACTAGGAAAAACTCATTCATGTTAAGCATCCACATTAAATAATCATATAGAGACCAATGAAATGCTTAACTAGAAATAGGGAGAACACATATAAATGGAAAAGTTGATGTAGTACCTCAACAACCAATCTTCCTCCTCTTTCTCCTCTTTAGAACCTGCACAGAAGACATGGAAACTGGAAACCATTCCAGAGTCACTGAATTCATCCTGGCTGGGATCTCAGAGCAGCCAGAGCTCCAGCTGCCCCTCTTCCTCCTCTTCCTGGGAATCTATGTGTTCACAGTGGTGGGGAACCTGGGCATGATCATCCTGATCGGGCTCAGTTCTCACCTGCACACTCCCATGTACTATCTCCTCAGCAGTCTGTCCTTCATTGACCTCTGCCATTCCACTGTCATCACCCCCAGAATGCTGATCAGCTTTGTGTCAAAGAAGAATGTCATCTCCTACCCCGAGTGCATGACACAACTCTACTTCTTCTTGGTTTTTGCTATCTCAGAGTGTCACATGTTGGCTGCAATGGCATATGACCGCTATGTTGCCATCTGTAGCCCCTTGCTTTACAGCATCACCATGTCTCAGCAGGCTTGCATTTCCCTGATTTCAGCGGTGTATGCAATAGCTGTGGTTTTTGCATCCGTTCACACAGGCTGCTTGGTCAGAGTTCACTTCTGCAAGCTGAATGTGATCAATCATTATTTCTGTGATCTTCCTCCACTCCTGAAACTCTCTTGCTCTAGTACTGACATCAATGAATTGTTGATTCTGTGCTTTAGTACGTTTAACATTTGTGCCCCAAGTCTCCTCATCCTTACCTCCTACATCTTCATCATAGCCAGCATCCTCCGCATTCGCTCCACCTCGGGCAGGTCCAAAGCCTTCAGCACCTGCAGCTCCCACCTCTCAGCTGTTGCTGTGTTCTTTGGTTCTGCTGCGTTCATGTACCTGCAGCCCTCATCAGTCAGCTCCATGGGCCCAGGGAATGTGTCCTCTGTGTTTTACACCATTATTGTTCCCATGCTGAACCCTCTGATCTACAGCCTGAGGAATAAGGATGTCAGTATCGCCCTAAAGAAAATATTAGACAGAAAATTATTCCTGTGAGAAGATGTAAAGTGAGGATACTTTATTAGATAAAAATCATTTACTATTATGTGAGTGACTTAATATTCCTATTAGACCATTTGTCACTATGTTCACTCATGTCCTGTATTTTTGAGATATTTTTTACAACTCTGATATTTTCATGCCATTTTCTTGTGCAGAATTAGACTTCAAATGTATGGTAGAAGCGTGTGGATCTAGGTGTCCATTAATGCCTAACTTGTTACCTTACTTTTCTTCCATACATTTGGCAAAATCTCAGGACTCAGCTTTAATGAAATGACATTTTTCGGAAGTGACTACAAACCTCCCTTCTTCAGTATATACAAAACATCTTAAAGCACAGCAGTGTCATGGCTATGACTTCTAGTTTTGGACCCAGTCTACCCTGGAAAAGTCCTTCTCTTGTCCTACTCTTTCACATAAATCATGTCTTGCTTTGTCTTTTAATTTGCAAACCTAAAATTTTAAAATATAAGATAAAGACACATGTAAACATTAAGCATTAGTTCATCCAGTACTTTAACTATTTTTCCAGTTTTTATTTTTTTAATTTAATTTCATATTTTAAATTTGGTTGTAACCACACTGGACTGAGATTTCCTGTAGGTACTTTCAGTATCTGCAGCTCATCACCCCATTTCCGGAGCATAGAATACTTCCTACATACAATTGCATCCTTGATAATTTTCTTATTTTACTCTTATGAAATATTTCAAGCAAAATATGTGTCCCACACACTACCTGCATTCATTAACCTCTTCCAGGTTTCACCACCACCTTCTAGGAACTACTTATATTTCAAAAAGTGGATTGAATTAAATTGAATTAAATCTAATTTAAATTTTACAGTTAAAGCCCCTTAAGTTTAATTTTGGTGAATTCTTCAAAGATCTGAAAATAATAACATTTCTACTGTACACAAAGCTTTAGAAATTTCTGTCCTGACTACAGAAAACTCAGTAGAAATATGATAATGCAATTTCTCCAGTAATTAATTGTTCCCACAGAATAAGAAATTTTTCTTGATTTTTCATTCATGCGGTTTAAAGAGGTTAAAAATAACAAGATGTTTGTCACCTGATGAGCCAACATAGAAAATTTGATGGCAAATTGATATCTGGATTCCAACAGGCCTGATCTAAACCATGGCAGTTCAGTGTCTGTACTGATAATACTGCTAATAAAATTCTCTTACATAGATTTTCAGTGAAATGAAGTTAATTTTAAAAAGAGAAAAAAGTGCACTGCATTATTGGATACAATAACCTGGGTTGCTGTATCCAAAAGAAATATTTTTCCTCTTTTTTGTTGTTTTTTTGGCTGGGGCTAATCAAATGGTTTCTATTAAAAGCTGTGAAATGCAGCTCACTTTACCTATTTATGTTTATTCTCAAGTTCCTGACCATCCTAATGGCTGTCTTCCCACACTCTTAGCGGTGGGAAATGCAGGTGAATGAGCCATAGCTGTAGATGTCTGTCCCCTAGGAATTCTAAAACATGTGGCACAGCCTAGTTGATCACACCAAGGAGCTGGACCTCTTTGCTTGAGAAAACAATTAGTCATGAGTTCTCCGAACTTGAGCCTAGGAAGATACTATTATTAATCTAATGTTTTCCAGTTGAAGCTGAGTAAATGATTTCTCTAAGCTTCTGAGTTACTATGAACAATGTACTGTGGGCTCATTACAGAAATCAATATGCCAGAATCTCTCTTCAAAACTATACCTCTCCAGGCTATGGAGACTTAAAATCATGTCCTTAGAAAATTCATCTTTAAAACTACCTTAAATTACTTTTTCACATTAAAACCCTCTCTCTCATAAAAAAATTTGTTTAATTTATCGGTAGCCTGTACTATTTGCTGCTGTGTTTTTTAGCTTGTGCTGCTGCTTGAGGTAATCATTTAAATGTTTATTCTTTTGCTTTCCCTTACATCAATGGACTTTTTGCCCCAGTATGGTGCAGAATACACAATTATATTCACAATCATACCAGAGTCCTGGAATCTCTCATTTTGGACATGGGGCATGATTTCAGTTCTGGGCATGCTCCCAATGAGATTTAAATTTTCATTTCATTTGAATCTTAGAAATTAAACCTAGTTGTCAATCAGGCATCTGCACTCCCGTGTTTACTGCAGCACTATTCATGAGAGTTGTGAAACAGAAAGGGAATAGTCTGTCTTCTGGTGACTGGATAAAGCAGATTCATTGTACATACACAGTAGAATATTAATCAGCCTTTAAAAAGAAATACTACCTTTTGTGACAATGCAGATGGCCCTAGAAGACGGTATTACACTGAGTGAAATCAAGTGGACACAGTGACACAAATATTTCATGATCTCACTTATATGTGCGGGATCACACTGTAGTTCTGTTTTTACCTTTTTGAAGAACCACTGTACTCTTCTGTATGTTGACTGTATTATAGTAATTTTCACTCCCACCAGCAGCATGCAAGGGTTTGCTTCTCTTACACCATCACCAACATTTGCTCTTTTTTGCTTACAGCCATCCCTAAAAGAGTGAAGTGATGTAAAACTGTTGTTTTACTTTGCATTTCTCGGATGATTATTGATTTTGAACATTTTTTCATATGACTGTTGGTCATTCACATTTTGTTTTGATAAATTTTATTTTGATTCTTTCCCTTGTTTAATCAACTACTTTTCTTTCTATTTTAATAATTTGAACTCCTTACATGTTATGACTTGTGCTTTTCCAAATATAGTTTTATTAAGCAAATTGTTGCAATTGTTGCCTCCAAATGTTATATTTAACCATTTTGCATAAAACTTTAAATATAAATTTTCTTTCCAAGCTAGTCTATACATAGACCCAAGATAATCTGTATCATGTGTATATTTTAGTTAGTTCTCAAAACTTTTCTTTAATTTTTAGAAGAAACAAAAGTCCTCATCTCTCCTTGTTTACAAACTTAGGAAGTCCTTGTATGTTTATGGCAATATCTCCTAGAGGCTCTCATTCAGCCTCTAGGTTAAAGTTTCTCAAACCTTATCACTGTGTTATTATATCACAGCATTTGTGTAAGTCAGGATCAATGGAAATAAATATGTCCAATCCTTAACTAATGCATCTACTTAGTGAGTTTGTATCCTGAAATTCTGTGGAATTCATTTATTAGCTTTAATAGTGTTTTGTGCATAACTTAGAGTTTTCTGTGTGTAAGATCATACTCTCTGCTAGCAGTGACAATTTGATTTCTTTTTCTTTCCATATATATGCCCTTGTATTTTTATTTTTCCTTGATTGGTCTAGCTAGAACTTCTACGACTATACAGATTAAAGTGGCAAAAATGGGAATTCTTGATCCATATCTTAGAAAGCTCTTAGTTTTTGTCCATTAAGTATAATGTCAAGTATAGGTTTATATTACACATTTATTTTGTTGAGGTATGTTCCTCCTATTCCTAAATTGTTCAGATATATTTTCATAGAAGACGTAAAATTAAGTTAAATTTTATCAAATGCCTTTTCTCCATCTATTGAAGAGATCTTATGAACACCCTGGAGCAAAACAATACAAACCCTAAAGGTAAACAATTTTCAGTCCAGAAATAAAACTACCTTTCACAGTTAATGGACAAATAGGGTATCTTCTTTTTTCTCATTTTTTAAATTTCATTTTTGAAAGTAGTAAAAATTTGCCCTTGATTATGAGGAGGTGATTTTTTCACATTTATTCAGTAGAGTCTATCGAACCATCAAACCCTAGGATGAATTTCACTTGACCAAGGTAAGTGATCTTTTTAATACATTATTCAATTTAATTTGCTAATATTTTGTTAAAGATCTTTGTATGTGTACTGAAATTCTGAATTTTTCGTTATATAGATATCATTCTGGAGTCCTAACAATGGCACATTCTAGTTTCTAAATCATAGTCAGCAAAACAAACAAATAATAGTGATGTGAAATATTAAGTAATAGGAAAAAACGGCAATAAAGGAAAACTCTGCTTATTTTCCCAAGAGTTGATAATGTGGGGACATGATTCTGGCAGGAAGTTATTATCACTGTGCTTATAATAAATTCGCACACTTTATATTTTGAGCATATTTGAATATTTATGTTTAAATATAACATTATACCCAGTCAGTCCTCATAGAGGATTTGTAGTTCTGGGACATTAGCTTTATTATGTGTTCACACAAATAACTCAGTATAATTCTACAGGAAACTATTAAGCTATGATCTCATCAGCACCAAAGAACCTTGAAAGTTCAGTATTCAGTGTTCTCTTCTAATATTCTTAACAGCCTTTAATCCCAGAGTGCAGTGAAATTCCATATAACTTTGCAGAAATAAAAAGAGGTTCATCTGTGTTCTAATCGCTGACTTTTACAACCTTGGGATCCTCTATATGACCAGCACTGCCAGGGCACATAGTGATTCACATGACTGTTTACCTCTCTACCTGCCCACATTCCAGTACTGATAAAGCCTAATGATGTCTCCTTCCCTTATATTTAGCATGTCCTGGAATATTAAAGGAAGTACACACTGCATGCTTTCTCATTTAAAGAAATAGGGAAAAAGGTTTTGTTTTTAAGATTAAGCTAACACTAACTTATCTGTAAACTTCTTTCAGAAATTCGACGTAACATTTTTATTGAGACTTTCTATATGCTAGATACTGGTAGGCACGATACTCAATTTATAATCCAGTGTAAAAATATAGTCAATATTTCATGACAATAGAAAATTAAATAATATTAAACATAAACTTGAGAAGTGTATTGAAGAGTACATAAGAAATGGTCTTGTTAAACCCTTTGTGGCTGCTCTTTAGCTGTTAAGTAGCATTTAACAGGATGGAAAGTTTGGAGAATTAGAAAATCTGAAAGAAAACAAAACTGAGAAACTTTTAAATGATTTCTTATGGTTCAGCCAAAGAATGGGATATTTTTTGAGCTATCAGATATACTCTACATACTCTCTGTCAGATTACAAAAATTTTTCAAAGGTAGAATG